TAATAAGAAAAAACTACAAAGTTTCTTTGTCCTGGCGTAGTAGCAACCATGTGTAAAATTTTTCCTCAAAATCCGAGCGGTACTTCTAAAGTTATTTCAACCTCTACATTTTTTTTTAAAAAATGATCACGTCTGAAACGTAAAGAACGAAGCTTGAGTGATTTTTTTGTTTGTCTTACTCCGCAGCCACTGCACCGAACTTCGTCCGGAAGTAAAACATCGATATTCACCATCGCTGTTGATTTTTGCATAACATCCATGTATCAACATCATCTTATAGGATGTGTTGAATGGATGTTTTCAGAGAAACGGTCAATTGATTATTTGGTACCTTTAAGTGCCAAAATTGAATGCCTGCATATTCATAAATCGTAACTCAGTTTTTGTTGTTGAAATAAATATAACAAAAAACTTAATACTGCAATAAATGTGTTTTAGATACACCAAACTTGTTTTAGAAGTGTACTAGATCGTTAAGCTCGTTTTTTTAACAAATTCGAAAAAACATGTATGTTTTCTGAGCGATGTTTATTTTGGATATATTGATGTTTATCTTTACGGCATGAAATCGAATTATTAATAGTAACTTTTGAGCTTAACTTCGCCTGGCCACCTCGAAAATTTTCTTGGTATCTAGGAAGTAGTTTCAAAAAAAAATTAATAGTGCCACTCAGGTGAGCTTGACGTTCTGAGTCATATATAAAAAAGTCCATCGCAACCGCTAACACTTTACCGCTTTCGCTAAAACAGCTCTCACAGCAGCTTTTTCTGTGATAAATACAAGCAATGATAAAACTGCTAGTCGATAGAGCACTTATACATTTTCCAATGGTAACTGTGCATGTCGATATCCTGTTGGAAATTGAGTAGGTTAAAGTCCTATTTTAAATTGTGTACATCAATACTACTAGACTCAAATGGGCAGGATTGACGGTATGTTTTAGAAGTTGTTAGAGAGAACCCGGGAATTGGCATCATGAACTGAAAAAAGCCTTGGATTGAATCGAATCACCGAAATAAACTATTTGATCCGTAGCACATAGAGGCTGTTCATTTGAAAACTTCCGAACATGGATTTATCGAAAACCACTGATTAAAAGAAAAAACACAGTCCTTCATTTTGACGTTTGGTTTTTAAAAATCAGTCGATTCGTTATCGAGAAAATATTTATCTTAATTTGTACAGATAGAATACAAAAACACACGAAAATATCACTTTTTATTTCGATAAGTGTTCAAAATGTTGCCCGTCAGGGCTTGCCAAGTCTACGATTCGTTTATAATTTAAAACAGAAACTACCAACATAAACAGCAATTCGGAAGATTAGACGTGGTAACAACCAACACGAATTTTTTTGCATTCTTTTCATCAACACAGATATCTTGGACGAACTGTATTTATTGTTATGCCTGTTTAGTTATTTGTTACTAAGGGAAAGAAATAATTTAATTTGCTGTCAGTTACTTTTGTGATAATCTTGGAATAGTGAAAATCAATTTATTAATTTAGATTTTACTTCCAAAAAGGTTTACACACTCGCCGAAAGAGTGAAAATGATTCTAATTTATAGTGTCCAAAATAAAACTCGGCAGACATCCGGTATGTTTTGGACCTTGTTACTAAATTTACTCAAACTGGATCTGTTGCAAATAAAACACGCGATCATCGAAGAGTTTTGGGTGAAGCCGTTCAAGATGAAGTTTTTGGTCATTTTGGAATAAATCTTAATACTTCATTAAGCAAAACTGTTGCTGCGACTGATATTTCATTAGACGCTGTACACATAGTTACTAAACTCCATAAATTTCATCCATTCAAAATGCAAATACTGCAAGAGTTAACCGAACATGATTTCGATAGGCGAGTTGCGTTTTATGAACAAATGACTGTAGCGATTAATTATAGTGCCATTCATGTAAAGAATATCTGCTTCAGTGATGAATGCACATTTTATCGAAATCGATTTGTTAATGAGCATAACTGCAGGTATTGGAGCAATGAAAATCCTCATGCTTTTGTAAAAAGGTATACCCAGTACCCCTAAAAAATTAATGTATGGGCAGGCATTTTAGGAAACAACGTGATTGGGCCATTGTTTATTAATGGAAATTTGAATGGAGACATTTATCTGGATATGTTGGAAAATCGCATCAATCCGCTTATCACCGAAACCATTGAAAACCAAATCGAAGAGGATGGAAATCCTATACTTGATGAGGCTGAAATATATTTCGCGCTCCTTCTCACTATGTTTTTCCGGTTCGACAATGGCTAGACGACAAGTTTCCAGATAAATGTATAGGGCGAAGAGGGCCTATAGAATGGCCTGCTAGATCTCCTGATTTGAGACCATCAGACTTTTTTCTATGGGCTCATTTGAAATTGTATTTACCCAGCCTGACAGATTGGATGAACTTCGTCAACGTATCATCGAAAGCTGCCATGATATCCCACAACATGTTTTTGGAAATGTCCGTCAGGAATTTGGACATCGGCTACTCGTATCATTGTTTGGCCAATAGCGGGCAAGATTTTGAACACTTATTGAACAAATTGAGATAAACAAATATTTTTCTAATTTTCTTGAAAATGAATCAACCGATCGAAAAAATCAAACGTCAAAAGAAAGGAATTCAAAAGACCCTTCAAACAATCTATTACTCAATACCTCTTGTCATAAAAAATTTAAAAGGGCACGACCCTGCAGGTGAAAGGATGTGAAGTAGTTATTGGTTAAAAAGTTGTCCCCCTTGACAAATCTTTTGACGTATCTCGGCGTTTTTTCTTTTAATCAATGGTTTTCGATAAATCCGTGGGGGAAGTTTTCAAATGAACACCCTGTACATGATCCATTGGACGAAATGACCAGTTGACGTTGATAAAACGCTAGAACAAATTAAAGCGTTGTCCCTCTAATATTCGGGTAGCTTCACCACTAAAACAAAGATTGCGGCAGAAGGGGATGAAGCAATAAAATTAGCGAACCATAGCGGTTTTGCGTTTTTTCCAGCGGACGCCCATGACAATCTACAAAATGAAATTCTTGGGTAAAGGCTGTTTCAATCCCGCATTCACGCTTGCTGGCGTTAAAAGTGAGTCGCGAATACGGCCCATTAACTTTTAGTGGTATTTTGGGGACGACAAAATGAGCTTTCCAGGTATAATTTGGATACCAACCGCAATATACATATACAGGGGTAGCAGGAAGCCTGGAAATTAATATATTAAATATGGATTAGGCAGAAAGGCTAGACGAGGAGCAGAGTATGTAGATTAAATTAGATTTTTGATCCGGCTTGATTAAAACCCCTTACCCTTGATAGGCGGCAGTCATTTTAGTTGCAAAAGGGTTCCAGGCTTAATAACTGCCAATTAGTCGTAATCCTCGATAACACAAATACTTACCCCAAATCCTAACACTAAGTTATGTAGTTCTATTGTCTATTTGAAATGGCATTATGTATAGTTTTCAACAAATAAAGTTTTTTCAATGTCTTGATTAGTTTAATTTTTATTAGCTTTCCAAATCGGAGAGCTCTCTCAGCCCCACCCTGTATCAATTGGCACCGATTTTGAAAATCGAGAATATAAAACAGTACTCACTAAAAATATTATTTGGAAGTCCAGAGCCGCGCATTTTAAGTGGGTCCAATTTATGATAATCTCCTGCTGACAATTTTGGCGTTTCTGTCATGTTTCTAATCAAGTCAGTAAATACCCAAAAAGTCTACCACTATGAGCAAAAAGAAAAGCCCAGTGACGACAACAATGGAATACAACAAATTAAACTGCATCCTTCACAGTCTGGTAATGCAGAAAATACTACCTTATAGCAGACTTGTTGAAAGACAATAAGGAAATGAAGAATTTAATTGAACAGAACAGCAAACTTTTAATGGAAAAAGAAGGAGATGTTGAAACTGAATGAGCAACTACAGAACCATTATAATATGATTGTCTGCAATCTAAAAGAAAAGGGCAGTATTACAGTAACTATAAATAAAATTACAATGAGAATTGGAAATTTATAAAAGCTCATATATAGGAGTGATATAATTCCTCCTGCCAGAATCATATGGATTGTGCTTTTGTTCACCATGCCCCAACATGAAACAGCATTATTCAATAGGTCTTTCACATTTGATGCAGTATCCTTGTATAATTCCTTGCCAAACGAATTTAAAGCCATGTCGCTAACTGAATTAAAATTTAATTTAAAATATCACCTCCTTCACATTCAGTAGTATAATTATTTCTGTTTTCTCAATGCTTTATTTCCTATGTTATTAACTTTTTACTAATCTAAATTCGTAGTAACTATCACTATCTGAGGGTTAAGTGGAAGAGTAGCTGTGACTAAACTTCGACCATTTCTAACTTATTGTCAATTATAAAGACGTTTATTATTATTATTATTATTATTAATTGGGTACCTTCCAGCTTACATCAGACAACTGTGGTGTAAGCTCACTGAGCCATTGGCTAAGGTCACAGTTATACTCAAATGTGACAATGTTGGGAGAAGGGTGGTAGGGTGACTGGAAATGCCACTTGTATCTGATTTGTATTGGTTTTAATAGACCCGTGTATACTCGATATAGGTGGCAGGACGACGTGTGGTGTCCATCGGCAAAATGCGTTGCCTTATCAGGCGATTTTCCCGAATTTGGAAATATTTCTACACCCTTTGAGGGATTGTTGAAGGCATAATCTTCTGGGGTATTTCTTTGAGAGAAGATAGAACGTTTGGGTATTTGTGGGTGCGTTTTAATTAGTTTTACACCGTGTAGGAAATTAGCCACTGCTACACAAAAATTTTATACGAGCTCAAATAGCTAAATATTCGAACACCAACTGTGCGCGCAGGTGCATTATCGTGGTGGAAGAACCAGTCCCGTGAAATCAGGTCTTTTCTTCCGAACACTGTTTCGGAATCGTCTTAAAACCTCCAAATAAAAGCTCTGATTGACAGTGTGAGCTGGGGTAACAAACTCGGAATGGACTACGGCTTTTGATATCTAAAAAACAAATCAGCATTGTTTTGATGTTTGATTTTTCTTGACGACATTTTTTTGGACGGGGTGACGTGGCGTGTACCATTGACTTGACTGCTGCTTCGTTTCTGGGTCATAAACGTAGCACCAAGGCTCATCGCCAGTGATGATCTTTGACAGAAAATTTCGATCAGATTCAAGCTGTTGTTTCAAAGCACGACATGTTTCAACTCGGTGTTCTTTTTGATTGAGGAACTTGGCAGCAACCCTTTTCATTTTCAAATCTTCTATTAAAATTCGCTGAACCGAACTCCAGGACATCCCACTCCTCACGGATAGTTGATCGATTGTCAGTCGACGGTCTGCAGCACAAGCTCTCGAATTTTTTCAACATTTTCGTCGATTCGGGCAGTTGATAGACGTCCAGAGCGAGGTTTGTCATCAATCGACATGCCGCCATCTTTTAATCGAGCAAACCACTCGAACACCTGAGTTTTTCCCGTAACATCATCTTTGTAAGCTATTTTCAACATTAAAGAAGTTTCAGCAGCATTTTTACCAAATGGAAAGCAAAATTTCACAGCTGCACGTTGCTCACTGAAGCTTGCCATCGTAAAAAACGAAACAGCTCTAACAAGAATAATGATCGCATAGGAACAAAACAAGCCAGCTCGGCAACTCAGGTGGCACTGAACTGGGATTGAGTTGCGCTGTACGCCTCAAGGACAGAAATGTGTACTGCACAAGCTCCACCCACTGCAATGCTATTCCGGTTATTTTTGGGTACCTCCTCGTATCCAAATTGTGGCACATTTTCAATAGTATCTTCTGTTTTCCTTGATAATCAATTTTAATAAAACTTTGCAAAATATATGTTACGTCGCCTTTCGCCTCAATTACCGCCTGAATTCTTGCCGTCATGGTCTTAACTATTGCTTGGCAGTTTTCCTGTGTAAATGTATTCCAATTCTCTTGCAATTTCACATACATTCCGGCAATTGTTCCGGTTTTCCAAATGTTGCTTCATTTTATGCCAGACCGTCTCTATCACCATTTTTTTGTGTTTTTAGCAGTGTGGCATTATGCGCCGTCCTGCTGATAAATACAGTCTCCGTCAGGAAACAAGTCTACTATGGTAGGTAGTTATGTATTCTCAATGATGTCTTGGTATTTAGCTGCATTCACTGGGCCATCTATAAAATGTCGTCCTATTCCAGTTACAAACATACTGCCCCACACCATAATACCTTTGGGCAATTTTACTATACGTTTAATACAGTCTTTGTCACTAAATATGACCTTGCTCCAGTGATCGTACGTCCATGAGCGCTTTAATTTTTTCCAAATTAAGCGTCTTTGTTTTTGGACTTCACTTAGAAGCCATTTTTTTTAGCCTAATTAAGGAATAAACATTTTTTCATTGATTTGGTATAATACTTTTATAGTGCATACCTTATAAAATTTTACGAATGTATTTTCAACAGCATTCTCGTGAAAGCTGCATCCTACACTTTGCTTTTCAATTCCAGTCAGTTACAATCCTCGGTCGACCTGGACTTTTAGCGCGAACATCAGTACTTCTAGTTTCCCTATACTTATTTACAATGTCGGGAACTGTAGATTTAGGGATAACAAGATCACTTGACATTTCGCGTATCCTTTGCAAAACTACTGAATAATAATTTGTCTCACTTTCTGATTAGTGGCTACACCTCGTACCATTTTTGCATGAATGTAACTTAGCAGCAAGAAAATATAATTTCCGAATACCTCAACGATGTTGACATTCAGTATTGTGACACAGGTAGGTGCTCATATGTTTTTGCAAAGCCTGCTAGTCTCAGCTTATCTCTAATGATATGTTTCTTGACCTATCCGAACATTTAGTTGTCATATTTCGAGATATTTCAGTGATTCTGTTTGTTTTAAAGTAATACATTTGAACACAGAGGTGCCGCTATTGAAAATACATGTTTATTATACTTATCTACAATTATACATTTTGAGAAAGCAGCAGCTAATTTATGGATCCATTTGTACAAAATGTCAAGGTGTGCGAATATTTCATTGTTTAGGCTCGTATGTTATCGCTTATATACCCTATCCAAATGGCATTTATGCTACGACAAAGCAAACAAACACGGGCTCAGATTGCGTTAGTATTGATCAATAGACATGATGCGGGATAGTGAGTCAATACAAGAGCGCGAATAGGGGGTAATACAATAATATGCTTTGATTTTATTTCACGCCAATCTGGCAATTCTGCATGACAATCTTCACACAGTATTTCATCGAAATCAAAGATGAATACAATATTTTTAGCTGAATAATTAGGCTCTCCAAAAGAATCATTTTTGAACCGCCATTATGAAGGAGATAGAAGAACTAGCAGTACTGATGTGCTTTTGATGGGCACCATAACACACCTCAATTGGTTACTATGTACTGTACAAAATTATTGTAGTGTCAGTCAAAAGTTCTCCACAAAAAAAGTCAAAAAAGAACAATTTCCAGTAGCGCCCTCTCTGGGCATATGACTCTGTATGTTACCCCATAGGACATTTTTTATATTTTCTGTTCTTTATGCATCCATCTTATTCGAGTTCATTGAAATCCTTTTTATATAGAGTAACGGTTCTTAATAATAATCTTCGCTTCGTGAAGAAAATTCGCTAAACGGGTATTCTGGAGTAATTCTATGATCCAGGCCACAGTCCAAAGCCCCATAAAACTAGTACGGGTTCAGAATAATAACCTGCCTAACAAGGCAGTCACAAAGTTATTATATGTCATGAAACGGAAAAGAGCGGATTTATTTTAAAATGCACAGAAGATAAAAAACTTTTAAGGGTTGTAAATTCTTTTCTAGATGCCTTATAGTGGGTGGAGACTGGATAGACATATCAGCATTCCTGCGGAACAAATGTAAAAACACCATTTCACTGAATTTGCATAGGGTGCTTTCGCAAGAGCCATCAAAAGAATGAATGGAAAAACCAGGGGCGTAGCAGATGTAAAGCTGGGTCGAAGGAACGTTACCCCATTTGGTGACTTCCCAACTTCTATTTTGAGGTAATCCCAGATTTTTTTCATTCAATTAGCAGTCACTTTCCACAAAATACTTCGAACATGTCCTTGCGGCTTGTACATTAATATTGTGTTTCTACAAATACTTCAGAACCCATTATTCTCAAGCTTGTTTGTTCTTTGGAAAACTGAAGAAACGCCCGTTTGAAGCGTCTTTCCTTTTCTTGTAATTATTTCTTGAACAACCAGCCTCTGCACAGTGCGACTATTTTATCGACTATTTTATCAAATAAAGATGACGTTATCCTAATTAACGACTGTAACAGCTTATTACATAGCATCAATAGCTGGTTCGTGGAGAACTAGCTGCATATAAACTGTGAAAAAACAACAACAATCAGATTCCACAATGCCCAAAAATCAATACCTCCCCTGCAGCTTACATTGGATAATTCAGCCCTGCCCATCAGTGAGAGCACAACATTCTGGGGTCTGCACCAGGATGAGTGCCTCAATTTTAAAGGACATTGCAGGCCTACCTATTTAAAAATCTGAGAACAGTTTTTACACGCGACCAGTTGTTGATGTTATAGTCATATCGAGTCGCAAATGCGGTATGCATTCTAACACTGCCCTCGTTGTTTCTTTATGAAATGGCAATATATACGTATATTAACAGAGATAATTTCACCAGTGGCGACGCGTGACTTTTCCTAAGCTGTTACCAACACCAGATGTGAAGAATCTTATTAAAAAAAGTTTATCTTGAACCTCCTAAATCTAGTTTTTTTTATTTTAGGTATTTTCTTTAAACTATTTTTAAATTAAGGTAAACATTTCTGGACTGAGCGTCTGGGGCACTTGATATACCTCATCGTCTTATGCTATGACTAATCCAAGCCGTCCGAAAAAACAATGGACATTTCTAGATGTTCGGAAATTTTTTTATCTTTTTTGTCAATGAATGTTACCAATTCCCCGTAAATTCGTCTATTGTCAGAGTTATCCACTTCAAAATGAACGGTATCTAGAGAAGTGTGCTGTAACACGAGCCGGTACCGACGATCCCCGACAGACTACCAAGTGTATCCATAAATGAAAATGGTAACAACCGACAACCAAGTCAAGGCGAGTCAGCTTCATCGTGTTCGCAAAACCTGAACACTATAGGGCGCATTATTTTCGTGGGGCTAATTTGCAATTTACTGAATTACTATTACTGTTGGTAAACAAATAAATGAAATTATTTCACAGTACTTAATCTTAAAATATTTATTTTTAAGATTTTTAACTGTTATATAACTGTAATATACATACATTCAATACTCGTAGGCAGCACGACATTCATCTACCCTTTGCTCGAAGTAAGCTGGGTAGTCGATCTCAATCTATTTTAGGACCAAAGATATTCAATAAGCTGCCTGAGTATACTAAGACAATTAGCTCCTTAAATAATTTTAAAGCTGAGTTAAGAACCTATTTTATTAATAAGACTTGCTACGCCATCAGTGACTTTGTGGATATTTAGATGTTCTTTTTTTTGTATTGTTTGTTATCCACTTATTGTTTGTCCTTTTATATATTTTTATATTGTGTTTCGGTTAATTTATTAATTTTAACTGCTGGAAAGCTAATCTATTTTATCTACTGTTGTTAGCCTATGGTGTCCATTTTAAAATATCTAATTTAAGCTATTGTTTGTTGTTGCTTGTCATTTTACTGTTTGTTTTTTTATGTATATACATACTGTAAATTGTTTGTTGACGAACCCTATACATGTTTTATACATGTCTAATGGGTAATAAGTATTATTATTATTATTATTAGTTGATTTGTTAAGTTCACTGTTTTTAATTATACTTCACACAGAGACTTATTTGAAACGCAGCACCACATGCTAGAGTGCCATATGAAACTGTGCGCTTGTCAACCATCTCTGGGGACTTTTGTCACCGACTGACACAGAGCTTCCGAACAAATTCACGCAGGAGATAAACCCACGCAATGCATGTGCCTGGGTTTATCTTCTTGAGTAATAGTATCGTGCATCGGATACTCTGATCGTATACAGGTCGACGTCACGCTGCCGTTTGCAACAAACTTTATTATAGAAAATTTGACAACGCCGCGTTATGCGCTCATCACTGATACCGCTGCTTTGGAAAGCAGTAGGTTGAATTCAAGAGGGGGATTGGCTTGATACAGGATTCAATAGTTGAGCTGCCACCTAGAGGATTATGAGTCGCTCTGCGGCGTAGCGTATTCTCCTGAGTAAACCGAATCCAATCATCTCGAAGGAATAGATTTGGTTCCGGCTCTTGAAACCGGATTCGACCATTGTGATACCAGTGCTTAAAACCGGGAGTGTTTGAACAAACTAAATGAATTGAAGGATATCGTTCGGATTAGAATATCGCCGCTACCGTAATACAGCACGGGTATTACGCAAGAGAACCTATAAAACGTAAAAA